CAGCTACGGTTGGCCATGGTTGCTGGGTAGGAGAAAAAATACCAGGTTGGCCCCAGGCTATTGGCTGTCCTCCCTGCATCACCTGAGCAACTGGAGGCTGAGCACCTAGGGTCAACTGTTGTTGAACGAGTGGTTGCTGTCCCCAGAAGGATGGCAGGACAGCTCCCATTGCAACATAACCTTAAAAGAGAACAAAGACAGGATAGCATTAGCATTTAAATATGAATAGTCAGTGAATAAACACACTTAGACTAACCACAATTAGTCAGAAATACACAGAGTATAAAAGGAGTCACATGCCTTTTACTGATTTATTTTGCATTCCTCACTGATTATTTTGTGCATTCTTTAATGTGTTGATCCTATGGTGTTGGCATGTGAACAAATAGTTTAATTAAAAGAGCATAATTGGATAGACATTTATAATAATAATTACTGCTGCAACCCATCAAAATGAAAAGAATTCCTTCTCCACTCCTCCAAATCATGAATGCCTCAGCCTATCCCGTTCCCAGAAACTAGAGTGAAAAATTAGTCTGTGTGTGACATGGAGGAGGTGGAGGGATGGAAATCAAGAAATCTGAGTTCTGTGAATTCCAAACAGAAAGTCCCTCAGGAAAAATGCCCTCTGGGTAAGTCAACTGGAAAGAGTGTGTTACAGGCCCCTTGCTGTGCCTGGCCAATACAAGATAAGAGTTTCTTACATCAGCAGCTAAGGCTCATTAGCTCGTGCAGCACCTGGTCATGCTTTCAGCTCTACAGTTGCCCAGCCAAGTCCCTTCTGTCAGTCAAGACAGCATGACCAGACTCTGGAGTAGACTCTCAGCAGGGGTGGTGCAGCCACTTACCCTGGAGATCTTCAAAAGGAGACTGGACACATGCCTTGCTGGGGTTATTTGACCCCAGCAGTCTTTCCTGCCCATAGCAGGGGGGCTGGATCGGATGCTCTTGTGAGGTCCTTTCCAGCCCTAAACTTCTGTGAATCCACCATACTGACAGCTCCCTTCCCATATACACCGGAGGACTCATAGCTGAAGGACCTTTTTCAACTACAATTGTTACTGTACCGGACAGTCCTCACAGTGAGAACTGATACTTAGCAAAGGGTAGGCTAAATTTCAATGAGCTGTTTCTGAGATATCTACAGGTTTTATCATAAATACATCACATGCAATAATCCAAAGATAAAACGAAACAAGTAACAGGGCTAAGGTACACATGTATGCATATACATATATACATCCTGAGGGATAGCCAGCACAGGTTTCTTGCGGGTAGGTCTTGCT